ACCCAGAACGAGCCCCACCCAGACCCCCTTCTTTTATTTCCCTGTGGGCTACACTTCTCACTCTTCACAGGGCTTGAGGGAGATTGGGGGTTGTGGGGTGAAGGGTGGGTGCGTGGGTGGGTGCACCAACGGACAGGCAGATGAGCCAGTGGGCAGGTGGCCAGATCAGAAAGCCCCTTCATCCAGGACAGAGCAAACCAAGGAACCCGTTTCCCAAAACGTAGGTGCTCAGCTGCTGTGCACATTTACAAAGGACAAGGCTGCCCCACACTAGGCCTGCCCAGTCCACACACTGTGATTAGAGTGGTCGCCAGGACACGAGCCAGAAGGCCACATGTAAAACCAGTCTATGGGCCCCCCCCAGGTCCCAGCAGAGGGGCGGGAGCTTCTCCACCGTTTTCCCTCTGGTCACTGAGACCCTGCGCCACGCACTGCAGCAGGGGTGGGGAGGGCTCCTGGACAAGGGTTGAGAGGGTCTTGTCCTGTGTCACCAGCGCCAGGGTCAAGGACCAGTTTGCCAGATGTGGCCCCAAAACAAAGGTCAACCCAGAGAAGGAGACATGGTCACAGCAGACAGTTGCACATGCACTACACACACAGAGACACTCACAGGAACTATGTGCACACCACACACATAAGCACACACCATACACACCACACACACACACACACACACACACACACACACATTTTATGCATACCACATACATGTGTGCACACACCATACACGCATGTATCCACAGACTGGAACAAACATGCATACACATGTACACAGGCACACAACATATTCGCATAATTCTCACACACATGCACATGCCATGTGTTTGCACACCCACCATACACATGCACAGACACCATGTACACACCACACACAACACACAGCAAGTGCACATCATGCACACTACACATGCATACACATGAACACATACTATGCACATACTGTATACATGTGCACAAATCCTATACACACATACACACCCATAGACATATGTACACCCTGTATATACATAATGTGTGCACATGCTCACTCACAGGCACCATATAAGCGCCATACACAAGTGCACATAAGACATTGCATGTGTATACATGCAGGCCCACCACACACACAAATACATACACATATACACACCATGCATGCATGTACTCCATACCAACACACAGTGTACTCACAGCGGCCACCTACCCACCCACGTGCCTCTTGACTCCATCCATGCACGGCCTTTGGGCTGGCAGGGCCGGCAGGGCTGGCAGGGACCCTACACCTCACACGCTGGGCTCCTGGGAGCAGAGCGGCCAGAGTCCCATAGCAGAGGCCACACCAGCCCCAGCACAGCCAGCTCCAGAAGCCCAGGGCGGCAAGGCTGTCCTCGACTGTCCCCTGGGCAGAGGCCAGCTCCGCTCTTCTTGACCTTGGCACTCCCACCTGGCACATTTTGGCTCCTGCTTCATGCATTTTGCAGAGAGACCCCATCAAGCCAATCTTAGTTTTTGGTCAGTTTTCTACTGGGTGCAGAGAATTCATTTCCAAAGGTGTCCTTTTTATTTTCCTGGAGTTGTCTTTACTGCAGGCAGCTGTTTCCATAAAACAGTTTGATGGCTTGGCCAGGCTTCTGTCTACAGCCGTTTTACCTATATATCCACTTACACGATACAAGCATAGGTGTGTGTCATTCCACCCAAACAACGTCACAGCCCTGCCAGGCTTTGTGGGCACTGTTGACACTGGGCACACTGGGCCCCCACCTGCACCGCGCTGGTTTTCCCGGCGATCGTGGCTGCGTGCTCTCGTTTAGGCCATCAGTGCGGTGCTGCCTGAAGTGTCCCTACTCCATGTTGCTTACATCCGGCACTAGCATCGTCATTTAGAGCAAACGCTGAAGGTTTTTATATCTCCATTGGCTAATCCTTGAGACAATTCGGGGCAGACCCCTTAGGCAGCCTAGGCCCATCTTGGTTTCCAGGGTCAGCCGCTGTGACAATAACTCAGCCTCGGCCAATCTGCCCAGCTCCTTTGCACCTGGCTGCCCATGCACTGGAGAAGCACGGTGCCTGTCATGGTCCAGGTCCATGTGGGGCTGGCCAGCCTGGCAGGCAGAGGCAGGTGGGAGTGGGGGAGGACTCCCAGTGGCCCCACAGCCCCACCAGGCCCAGGGTCCTTGTCCTGACCAGGGGACCCAAGCTCTGGTCCACGGGGAGCTCAGGAGCATGTGTCTGCCAGGCGAGGCCTGCGCTCTGTCCTGCCAGTGGCCTGGGCCCTGGATGGCAGGCAGGGCGCAGCTGCTTGCGCAGACCCCAGAAGGTTGAGCAG